GGACCGGCCTGAGATAGACTTGAGGTGTGCCAGAGGTATTCTTCAAGTAAAATGGTTCAGGTGAAATATGACTCAATACACAGCGATAAGAATTTTAGACGCTACCTTTATAGGAAATCCAATGTAAGTTCCTTACCCATCCGAAGCGCGGCCCGTGGTCTCCGAAGAAGAAAATAAATGAGTTGTTCAGCTGCAAGCTTTCTATATTACCAAAAACCACTTTCTAAGCTAACTGCTATCTAACAACGCGCAGAGTCTCTGTTCTTCAAGAAAAAGTAAGTAGTCGCTACGATATAAGAAATTCGTGTCGTCGTGTGCCAGATCGACAAACCAAACAAGAGAGAATTTCGGTAACCCTGTAAAAACTTTACCGTTTTTTTAGAGTTGACGGCAGATGGCCTACTCAAATGATGTTCATGGAAACAACTCTTAATGGTTCAAAAGTTCGGAGCGCTCAAAAAATAACTACCTTTGTAAGCATTCACAAAATGTGCGAGATAATCCAGCATATTGTCATGCACTAGTTGACAAGATCCCTTCTGATGAATATTCTCCAGCTGTTTGTCTTTGCTCAGCCTTGCGTAAAAAGGTCTGAATGTCCAATGTGAAATGTCTTGAACGTTGCAAAACAAATTGATTGAAACAAATTGTCTTGCATTCATCTTCATATGTTAGGCTAGCGGTGCGCTGTTCGCAATTGCCGACTATCTCGAGTTGGCACAAGTTCACAGGCGATTGGTTGCTACCATGAACATTTATGATAGAAGCGAGATGTTTTGTTGTATTATAGTAAAGCAGAGTTGCTGATTATTCGCCGATTATTTGTCAAGGGGTCCTTTGGGGGATTGATATGTTCTGATGTAGAAAGTCATAGAATATAATGATGAGTGGTTCCAGATATATTGGTATGAGATACTGCTTAAAGCAACAATCCAGGAACGAATTCGCGGGTAAGGACCACCTATAATGACGTTGCAGGTGAGAAGTTGGTCAATGGAGAAAGAAAAAGTAGAAAAAAACGTCGGGCAGGGGCTTAGACAGGGACTCCCCCTGCCGTTTAGGGAGACGTGTGTTGGACGAGTTGTCCGAACCTGCCCGTAGTACATGCGCTCCAATTGCAACTGCTGGCAAATAGCCATGCATGCTTGCAAATACATAACTATTTGCCAGCAATCGAAATTGAAGCGCTTCAATTGCGTTCTTATGGAATCGACCTCATACAGCGCGGCGGTCCCGCAACGACCGCTAGTCGAGCAAGCGCTCTGCACAGCTGCTTGGAGGCGGCCCCACCACGGATCGGTGGATCCGCCCCTCTTGAAGGATTTCGACTGCTTCCAACGCCTTTCAGAGGTAAGTTTTGAAGTTTGTGACATTTCCCATGAACTCCAATCAGGCTGAGGCATGTTTCCACCACTTGAAAACCAAATGGTTGAAACCCTGCCTGGACTGTTGCTTTAAGGCAAGTCGGCTGCTGCTAACTCAAACTAACTGATAGATTCATTAATAGTGTGTGTTATCAAACCAAAGAATAACATTGATTGGCAATCGAGTAGAGGACGAGAGAACACGAATATGGTGGCACCAGGTAGGAGACCTAACCGCTATATACTGCTGAACGGAGCAGATGTGAGCCACTGAGTGGATGAATGAGTGGATTGACCACTTAGCCATGTTCTTATGCCGCTCTCTCCCGCGCGATCCGGTTAGTCAATCCGATGAGTGACCATGTTATCGCCCTGATCGCGTCCTGTCCAGATGCTGTAATTAAATTGTTATCTAAGATGAACTTTTTTAGTCTATGACAAAGGTAGCGTTTCGCTACAAGCAGTCCGACATGAGATTGTTATGATAATCCGATAGCAGTCAATGCTAGGATGGGGCACTATCACTTCGACACCTTGGCTGCTCCTCTATTTTATTACTTTTTTATTTTTCTATCTTGTCCAATATATCCAGCCAATATTTAGAGGAATCCTGTGAAGAAAGACATCTTGTCTCCACATTCAAAGAAAAACAGTGGACGGTGCTGGACGCTATCCGAATGTTCCCAATTTAGAATTGAAGAATTCTTTCCAGTTTATGGGAAATTTCATAGCAGCTTCTAATGCGGGCGACACCGAAAAACTCGCTCCGGCAGCATGGTGCACTGATTGAGCTCAAAAAATCATTACGATGGATGCACTCGTATGTTCCGAGGTTCTCTGAGAAACGGTTCTTAGAAGGTTTCAATTGAATACAATACAATACCTCTGGGAAAATATCCCACAGTGAATCGAGTTAAGAAATTGTGTAATAGCTTCAGCCTGGAGCAGTTGCAGAAGATTTCTCGGCAACGAAGGCAGATGGCGTCATACTCTGAACAAGGTCTGCGAGTGAAAGAGGGTTTGCGTTCGCTTACAGAGGAGCATTTGAGGGGGATTTTCCCATAAGAAGTCCAGAAATGCAGTTTTTGCGGCGTTAAGTTGCCGAGCTCTTGGTATGACCGCATGTCTTTTTTGTCTCCCTCTGTATATCCATATTATCGGCAACATTTATTTCACGCAAAAGTTGATGCTCAATGCACCTCTCCCTTTAGAATTTCGTTCATAAAAAAATTGATGTCGATTTCGGCACCATTGTGATCACATAAGATTGAACATCGTTATCGCCACGACGCAGAGTTAAATATCTGATTAATCATATATTTTTTTAACACATTGACGACCGCCGTTATGCGCGCACTGCTTCAACATTTTTCGTATTCTCTCATCAATAGGCATTAATCCTTCAGCGTTTTCATTATCAGTAATGAAAAATGTTTTTCGGATCCAATAATGTACATGGACCGTTGTGGAACAGAAACGCCAAAAAATTCAAGGAAAAGTAGTCTGCTCCATGTGAAAGTGTGGTATGACATCATACCACACGGTCGTCAACGTGTTAAAGGTGGAAGGGAGAGATGAGTGGGTGGCCTTTAGTTGGCAGGCAGGTTCGGGCGGCACAGTGAAGCTGAAGAGAGTCAGCTTGAGAGATTCTAATTTTTCATTGATTTTATTTATATTATATCTTATAATGTTAGGTCGAACGACCTCGGGAGAGTGCGTACTTTGTCATGCTCAGCTTCCAATGTTAAACATATGCGCTAAGAACAGAACCAAGACAAATGGCGTTTGTTTTGGTTCTGTGTGACAATCACTGAAACTTCAATATTTAGGTGTCGGTTCCCAGCGGAGAGTCCCTCTCGTGTTCCACCAACGACTCTCGAACGAGTTTGGAGAAACTCGAACTGTCATAGCTCCTGAATCGTACAAGCTAGGCTTCTGACGCTTGTATATCTGCTGGAACTTTGCATCCACTGCACAGTGTCCTGTGCTTTATGATCAATGGAAGAAGATGTGGGAATACCAGAAGAAACACGATGGTGTTAGGTGTTCGGAGTTGATTCGCTCTCTCAGCATGTGAAAGCAGCATACAAAAACCGTTGTTCCTTCACGACTTTACGGAGGTGTTTCAGTGCAATCATCTAAACAGATAGAATCGTAACGTTTTTTCTACGTACACATTACTTTCCATTGACGTAGGGCATCAAGATTCCCAGTGATGTTGGAGCATGGATCATCCTCAAACGAAAAAATACAAACTCTAGAGGATCCACAGGTGCACCATGGATTCAGAGAGGGCGCTCACAGCCATCTTTCGGTTTACCATTTATGGACGGTAGCGCTCAAAAAGTCCTATGATGTTTTACTGAGGACAAGCTCAAAAATGGATTTTGAAGAGATTGAAACCTTGCTGAGAATGGCAGCGAGCGAGATGGCTTCTCGGATGTGTGCACGTCGAACATGTTGGAAACGTTAAATAATTCTTTCAAAAAAAGCTTATAACAATAAATGCAGTTGGCTCAGAAATCGTAGAAATTATGCGTCAACCTAACAAAAATAACAAGTAGTGTGCGAAATAAAAAAGGATAGTAAAATGAAAATGTGATGATGTTCCATAAAATCCTCTATGGATTCACTGCTTCCCCAGTACTTTTTATACTACTGGAGCATCTGGTATAGAAAAAAGTGATCTGTTCGAAGACGGAAATTGCAAATAAAAGGCAGCTCTTCTGACAAGGGTAGAGGTGCTCAGTTATGCCGGAACAAAGAGAAACCTAAAAATTGGCAGAGAGTCCGAGAAGTGGCTCTCCTTCATGGCCCATTGAAACCGTTGGTTTACGCATTGAGACAAGTATCATCAGTGCTGCCCTATTCACCGCTAACGCTCTCTCTGCTGAACAGCTCCAGTGAGACGGTGAGGGGGTACCTATCGGCGGACATGCAGATGCCTCCGGAGCATTACCTCCGCTGCAAAACACGTGCAATTATTGTTAGATAGCCCGCCTACCATCCTATGAACTATACCTCCCCTTCTCGATCGACCTCATCTTGAATAACATTAGATTGAATTGATCACCAGGGGCGGTAGTAAACTACCCTTAATTCGCAGTTAAAGGTGGTGATCGAAGGCCCTTGCATAGAATAAAGAATAAGACAATCGCGAATCGATCTTAAATCAAACGCGAGCTTCCTACTCTATTTTATGATCACAGAACAACGAAACATGAGGAAACGAACGAATATTTCAGAAAAAAAGGTCACAAAAGCATCTGTGGATTATGCGATTGCAGCTGCATTTTTAATTCCTACTTAGTGGAGCTGGTCAGAGAAAAAAGACCGTGGGAATGGGGAGACGCAGATGCCACGTTTGCCACGTTAACCCTCCAGTAAAAAGTCCTTCGGAGTACTTTTTACTCGAGGGTCAACGTGGCGTCTGCGTCTCCTCAACCACGTGCTCCTTTTTTTCTCTGCTTAATTACGAATTAGCTTTACAGGTTAACTCTCTAATTCTAATTAAAATGGTTTTTTTGGTTATGATCTAACTGTAGGTTAAACAAGACTTAATGTGTTGAGAAGCGCTCTGAACCTGTTATCTAAACTGACTTTTGTCTGAGCTAATCTCGACACGTTAACTCTGAATTAATGAAGGTTTGCTACCGTCCCAGACCTCTGCTCAAATTACGACCGCATTTCATCAAAACCCGTGCAATCGCTGCACTTGCTTTAAGCAAAAAGAACACTACACATCCCAGACGGTATCAAAACTACTTTAAAGGAAGTAGGTACGGAAAGGAATTTTCACATCTGCGGAGAACCTGCTCCCCACAGAGCAATTAGCAGGCCGCCAAGGAAGCGATGTGTGGCGCTTCCACTGCGAACAGTGCTGTGGTTGCTGAGCAGGACCATTGCGCCCTTCCGCCCCATGCGCCGCCCCGCCCACTGGTTTTGTTGATGATCTGGATGGACTGATTGCTGTTGGCTTTTCATTTTGGATGATCATTTCCCTTCTAGCGGCTGTATCTTCCATCTTGCCCATGTTATGCCTTATCAATCGAAACACTATGCTTGTTGGCATGATGGCGGCTATCGGGGTTAACACGTCCGAACAACGTCATTCTTTACCGTCGCTCATCCATGGTCGAAAATGAAAGGGCAATCAAAGGGGCACTATTTTGCTTATTTTTGACGGATTTCTTTGCTTTTTTCGCCACTGATGTACTATTGAGGACCCCCTCGTCCCCTCCAAACCACATTTAAACCTAGCGTAACCGCTGCCTTTAACGGACACCTAGGAAACGAACATATGAACGAATGCTCGTTTCTTATCATCTCTATTCTTTTTATTCATCTTCCTCTCCTTCAAGTTTTGTTCCTAAATTTTGCGTTCTCGCAAATCAATATCAGAACTGCGGTTCCTTCATATATTGGTGCCTGATGTTTGGTCATACTGTTTTTATTGGGTTTTGTCACGTGAGGCACCTCTTGCACTGAATAAATATATAGTTATGTATGATCATGAAGAATAAGGCCAATATGATGGCCGCTTTGATGAATAAACTGGAAGTCCGGAAATTGGAAAATATTCATGGTGATGCTTGTGAGATCACGATCGCTGCCAATGTTCCTTCGCTGAAAGCTTGCAATTCAAGCGCTCATCTGTTAAAATCCAATAGACAGAACAAATTGTTTACTGAGTTATTGGGAGCTTCGATGGTGTTTGCTAATTCAAATATCTCTCTTGCCAAATAGAAAAAAAATAAAATGCCGCGCACCTGAATGAATGAAGAAACTGTCTGGCTTTAGTTCCAAGGCAGTTGGGGTAATTTAGCACACTGGTTACGTAGTCTTCAGCACCAAACATCGGAAACAATATTTTCGAAGCGCGTTTTTCTGATGTTCATCAAAGATTACAATTTAATTTTCACCTTGTATCCAGCTTTTTGATACATCAGCGGAATGTATGACTCATTGTCGAGATATTGTCTGCAGAACTGATCGTAGGACAAGTCTGCTGGTATCGTTGGCAAGTTCGCCATCTTTCTTGTTATAGCTTCTGTGGTTTTTCCTAAGTTGAACCTTATTATTCAAGTAATCCGATTACATTAGCCTGAGTTACCGCTTTGTAATTATTCAGTCTATCTTACGTTGATTTTGGAGAAGCTCCAAGGTTTTCATTGAGTACCAGTCACATGACATGAAATCACTCCATATCTGCTTCTACGTGCTTCTAGAATATAGTTCTTTTCTGTGTTTACTCCGTCAGCTGTATATTAGAAATTCAGCACATCGTTTCGAACGTGTGGAAAAAACGAATATGGAAGAATAAATGAACCGGAAAGGTGTTTGGATTCAAGCCATTTTCACGACGGACTGACTGTAATCACTTGGACTAAGGATGAATTCTACGAAGCCGCGGTGCCTAAATAATGAGAAGCACCTTCATCAGAAAGCCTGCTAAGAGCGTGGCCGGTTGTTTCTTCTGAATCTTCCAGCCGTTAAAATGCGGGCTCCTTGCCTCTTGCAATTATTTATAGACCTATCCTATAATGTTAATGTTAAGGCCTTCCTCAGCATTCCTCTGTGTCTTGGAACGTGATATTCGATGGACCTGATTATCTGATAGATATTCAGGCAGCTGATTGATAAGGAAGTCAAATTAAATCTTAATGGATAACAAGCCAAAGGAGCTGCCGACTGAATTGGCCGTCTCCCAATTTTACTAAATTCGATATCCAACAACCACCCTCACCACTTTCGAAGCTTCCGCAATCCCTATAAAAGCTTTCCAAACTATTGGTACACAGCACATTTTCCGTAAAATCACAGCAAACTGAATAGTATATATGTAACGTAAGCTGGCATCGCTCATTCATTCCCTGATTTGAGTTAAAAGGGAGTCGTGAATGTTGTTTAGCATTTTGTATGCAGGGTACTAAAAAAGTGGGAATGCTCGTTCTGAAGCAAAGCATAGGAAGAAACGCGCTTTCGAATTCCATGCGGAATGTTGCAGTCTGAAATTTAGTCAGAGTTAATGCCACTACTCTTGGGAGGTTTCGGACTGAGAATAGCATGACATTCCGTACTTCCTACTATTGGTAGTTTAGATCGAGCCAGAAGGAGAGTCAGCGGAATGGTAGCGATTGAATTTTCAACATATAAAGTTGAATTTGACCGATCTTCTCACTGTTTCGCTATTCATTTGAGGTCAATATAACTATATGTGGCTTTTGCTTGGAGAAATTTTCGGTCCTCGTAAGGAATTTCGAGGAATTGTGATTGGTCTTTACCCCACCCAGAGTTCTCGACCTTTTTCAACTATGAGCGTTTTCTCTGTGCACCAACAGCTCGCAGTTTTTGGGCTTTACGGGTTGCACTCTAAGGTTTGTTCGCACAATTCTCCTCTTGATATGATATTGTCTGCTAATGATTTGTACACGCTTCTTTCAGTTGCCTTTTCGATTTCCAACAATGTTCACAGAAACCTTCTTTTCCGCAAACGAGTAACGGTAATCATCAACGTGAAGAAAACAATGAAGGTATGCTTTGGATTCAAACAATGAGCTGAATGTAGGCCGTATGCACTCTTAAGAGCTATACTATATCTCATAAAAATATCTGCCGACACAAGTGGCTGAAAACCCCTTTTGTTCAAAGCAGATCCAAACATCAGCTAAAGACACCGTGACATCTTGAAGCCGTAGAATCATATGTAAATGAATCTATGATAAATTTAATGCAGATTTCCAGTCATGGTTGCGGAATTTATGGTAAGCCTTGAAGTTCAATCTTGGCGCCATATTCATGCCCTCTTACGCTCTGCAGATGCCTAGGCCAGTGCGTCTATAGGCTTACTGTAGTTCTATTCGACAACACAAGGTGGCATACACGAGAGGAGGTCACATAAACAGGAAGACAAGAACTTGGCCTTAGGTAGCTGCTTCTATAAGTACATACCTATCCTCATAACAACCGACCAGCATTTGCACCGCTTGCGTAATTCTTCCTGCAGTAAAGTAGTGCCACCGTGCGCCAAAATTTGGGCGAAAGAAAAGTCCTGAGCATAAAACGACTGCGCATCGCCCTTTCGAAAAGGAACCACACGATGTACAGCGAGTAGTACTTCTTTGTTTGATCCAACCTTGTTGAATTTCCGGAACTCCACTGCTTCCATTCCGTGTAGGAGGAAGTTGACTCGGCAGTCCCCTGAGAACAGCAACAGAAAATGTAAACCTTCTTCGAGTGCAGTACCCAATTTGTATATATTTCGATATCAAGAGGAACCAATAATTACAAATAATCCAGGTTGAGGTTTCAACGTCTCTCCCTCCAGAAACTCAGAAAGGGAGTCTTCGAATCAAGAGTAAAAGAGCTTCTTTTCCGAAATAAAGGACATACAGTAGCGGTTAAAAGTATTTGCAGAGAAAGCGTTTCGTGCGCTTGGTTCACTCTCCTCTAGAATTTGCGTGAAATAGTGATATGCTATGCATTTTGGTATTTTCTAATATCGCGACGTGAAGGCTCATAATATTTGAAAGAAAAATTGCAGGTCAGTTGTAAAGCTATTTTTGACAGCCGAAATGGTACTGCTCGAAAAGCCACTTCGGCGAACCATTTTGACCGCTACTGTATATAGGGCAAATAAGAAGTTATAAAACTCAAAAACCTTATCAACTGCGTCGACGCCACTGAGTCAATTACCATCAAATACGGTCAAGGATTTCCCTTAGGAACTTGAGATTAGTCTTCGCAGTTCGATCTGTAAGTAATCTTTGGTGTTATTGCGCAGACAGTTTTTTCCTATTGTGTCATTTCCTCATGATGACGATTATCCGGAACAGATCACCGTCCGATATCAACGCAGAGAATGCTGACACTAGATCGCCGCAAAAATAATTCAAAAGAGAAGTTCCGATTTAAACAAAGCTCCAGAACTTTCGCTTATTGACTGATACCTAGAATCTGCTACGTGATAGATTATCGCTGTCGATCATACTTCTCCGCAGTAGGTATATATAGCCGGGTTGCCTTCTTTAACTTTAATCATGATGTCGATTCCACAAGAGCACTTTCGAGCGATCATCTTCAATGAATGGCGCTGCGGCACAGGAGCAGTGGGAACCGTCAACATTATCAGCATCGCATTGGGAAGGGACACCACTTCCATCATCAGTGCCAAGCTCTGGTTCGCAGGCTTCGAAGGAGGAGACACGGCTTTCGAAGACAAGACAAGGTTGGGAAGCCCCCAAACAGTGGAAGACTCCACCGTTCTCGGCGCTGTCGAAGAGGATCCGGAGGTTAGCACCCGCAGCCTTGTGACAAGACTCGGGTGCACCCATCCCACAGTCCTCGGTCCCCTCCACGCCCTCGCCACAGGAAAGTGCCGACTCGAAAGATCCCCCATGTCTTGACCGATAGCACGCGGTTCAGGCGGGTACCCTTTTGTCGTTTCTCCTTCTTTTCCGCACCGAAAGGAGTTTTGGAAGGCATGATTACGAGAGATGAGAGTTGGGTCCTCTACGATTCTAACAAGCACAGTGCCGTGTGGCTCCCTCGAGGAGAAGCCTGCCGACACAAGCAAAATCGGACCTTCACCCCAAAAACTGCTTCTTTGCTACCTCTGGGATTCGTGAGGAATGTTGTATTATGAGATGCTCCCGCAAAGACATACCGCTACCGGCAGCATTTACGCCAGTCAGCTCCAGAAACTAGCGGACGCTGTTCAAGAAAAACGACGACGAACTTCTGTCCACCTACTCCACGATGACGCCAGGCCCCACATAGTTAAAGAGACCCGTGCAAAATTGGAAGAGCTGATCTGGGACGCAGTTCCCCACCCATCCTATTCCCCTGACATTGTCATTGCCCTCTCTGACTATCACTTATTTCTTTCACTCAAGGCATTCCTAGCGAAGAAAAAACTCACCAAAGTTTAAGACGTTGAAAGAGCGGATCAGCGATTTCTTTGACTCTCAGTCTGCTCAGTTCTGGGAGAAGGGGGTCGCTGACCTGCCCATTAGGTGGGACTCTGTAGTGAGTAACAATGGTGATTATATTGTTTTAGTAGATTCCATTGTACGCGGAATAAAAAAGCAAAGAACAAAAAAGTGTCAAACGGCTCAGGACTTTTTACCACCCTAATAATTCTACACAGACTAATCACATTTGAATGGTTTTTATATCCATTGCGAACTGCGAAGCTATGGCGACGAGAACGCTACTGACAAGCTTTTTTGAGCCATATGAAGGAATCCTTACGTCTTGCTCTGCTATCTGCATCATTGAAGTACCAGTTTAGCTCCGCACGCAACGCGCGCGCATCAAATCGTGGGCTTTAGTAAAACTGGACAACGTTGCTGAATATTAGGTCACGTGAGAAACTAACAGTAAGATGTTGGAAGAAGTGTCACATAATGTCTGAAGGTCGTCTTATCCCATTGAAGATTGTCGCGTATTGCGCGCAGTGCATGCGGAATGAGGCTGGTACTTATCATGACTTCGTAAACATTTAGCATTCATATCGAGCTCGGAATGATTTAGCGGTTATAGAATTCCCACAATTGAAGAATCGGTGTGTAAGTGAAAATATAACCAATCAATCAGCATCTAACCGAGATATGATGGAATTGAAATTTGATTTGGAAATTCGCTATTAGTCCAAGTCCAGATAGTTGAGCAGCTCAACTTTCTTTGCTTCTTTAGATGAAAGGGTAGGAATGGAACATATTCACGTGCTAGGACCTGGTTTAGTTCTGAGTGCACGCTCAACTGTCGCTACTTTTATCAGTACAGTTGCCGCTCATACCACTTTCTGTCACCTACATTCAACCCTCGCCACCTTGATCGCTTGCCAGTGATAATTGCAACGAAGTTGTAGAGACCTGCATTCAAACGCTCTTATCATTCCTTGTCATTTCTTATCAGTTCATACTGTTCGCAATCGGTCCCAACCTCCACGCAACGTGTAGGAGCTAATATTTACTGTCACCACGAAGGCTGCAACGAAATTAGCAGTACTCAAAATCCTAACTTCCTTATCAACCGTTATCGCTTGTTATCACTTCTGATCATCCGCTATCCGTGTTCCCGTCCCATCCCCTATACCACATGTGAGAGCCAAGGTTTCCAATGTAACCGCAAGGGCCGCAACGAAACTGGTGGTATCCACACTTTGACGCCTTATCAGTTCTTATCAGTTGCTACCACATTCGTTCACTCAACTTCTTGGTCCCCGCCTCATCCCACATATCATACATAAGTGCAAACTCTCCACTGTCAACGCGAACGGTGCAACGAAATTGGTGACATCAACATTTCGACGTCCGTTATCAGCTCCTATCAGTAGTTATCACTTCCCGCCACCCGTCATCAGTGTTCACCTCCGGCCCCCTATATATCCTAGAAGTTTGAGCGCTCTGGGTCCAAAGGGGGTGAAGTTATGAATTTCCGGTCAGACACACACACACACAACCGCTTAGCCGATTATATATAGTAGGATCGTTTGGTGACATTGCCTGATTTGCACTCTGTTTGGACAAAAGCACAATTGAACACAACATCCTTGACAGATGTCCATTTTGTCATAGTATATTGGTTGTCACCGGCGTATTCGATACAACTATAAATAAAGGGTAAATTGCTAGATTCATGCTTCTGCGTGAGCAATCGAAAAAGCCACATAATAACACCATATATACTCGCCCTAAGACGCAGGTCGATTCAGAGGACGAATTCTCTGTTCCTGCAGTACTGTGACGATTCATATAGTCGTCTTTCCACTCATATCGCGGTGCATGATATGCGTGTGATGGTGCTCTGGCGTGTGCGCGCGGTAGCGGGCGGAGCGTCGGACGCTACAGTCGATATCCGAAAGTTGGGGTAGGTGTGGCACCGGAAGTGACGTGCACTTGATAGAAGTTGCGTGGATAAGCTGTTGCCAGCATGCTTTGCTGATATCCAGCGATGTATGCTGGAAACAGCTTATCCACGCAACTTCTATCAAGTACACGTCACTTCCGGTGCCACACCTACCCCAACTTCGGATATCGAGTATAGTTCTGCATGTAGGTGACTGGGAAATACATGGAAGGCGATTTCGGGTTTGTCTCCAAAAACAGAGTTTGTTTTGTTCCAGAATAGCGTGACTAACTACCTAGAGGTCTATTCTAACCCACCGCCGTATGCCGAAAACTGCAATACGAATGGGCCTCATTCTGCTACACCTAAGGAAGATCTCAATACGGCAGCTTTAGGTAGGACGGCTCGGGAGATGCTGCTAGAACCTCAATTGCTAGAAAGGCTGCTAAACGAAGAAGGACTAAGATGGCGATCTGTACTTTCAACGCACGAACGCTTGCATCCGAAGCTCACATCGAAGATCTGATGATGCAGGCCAGGAAGATCAAGTACGACGTCATCGGACTGACCGAGACGAGAAGGCACCGCCCGCTACACGCGTTTTCGATACTGGAGAATGACTGCTTGAGATGTGACGACAGCGAGAGTTCCGCGGTGTGGGTGTCCTCGTCAAGGCACTTGGATCATAAACATCGATTCGTACGAAAGCCTTCACGACCCAAATCGGACGTTTGAGATTGAGAAGATGTGGTTCAACTCCTGCTTTGACAATCTTCGTCGCCTACGCACCAACATCCAGCTACGACGAAGAAGAACACGAAGCATTCTATATGGAATTGGAGAAGTTTTACAGGGAAGATCATACCTTCTTCAAGGTCATCGTCACCGACTTCAACGCTAAGATCGGTGCATTAAGAAAGGCAGTAGAACTCAACATCGGTACTCACGGAATGGAATGGAATGAGCAGGGTGAGAGACTGTCGGAGTTTATCATGTCGACCAACACCATCCATGGTAACTCACAGTCCAAAAAGCCCTCTCACCTTCGTTGGACTTGGGAGTCACCTGATGGACAGTTCCATAACGAGATAGACCACATCATCTTCACTCGAAGGTTGTGCCTGACCGATATCGCTGCTGTTCTTCATCGTCATGCGCGCAACATTCCACTTCTCCATGCGTGTTGAGAGGACAGCAAGCTTCAGGAAGCGAAGCCCCAGGACAGTCATCAACTGGACCACGATACTTTACTTCTTTCGTCAGCTCATGGGGTAATTCCGTCGTCGAAAACATCGACGAGGAACACCATGGACGAGG